CTGTATAGGTATGACCTTATAAAGTGGAAGTGATGAATAGATTTAAGGAATTAGATCTGGTAGGTATGTGTGCCTGAAAAACTATGAACAGATGGTTGCAATATTGTACAGGAGGCAGCAACAAGAAAAAAAAAACATTCCAAAGAAAAAGAAGAGCAAGAAAACAAAAAGGCTGCCTGATGAGGCTTTACAAATAGCTGAGGAAAGAAGGAAAGGGAAAGGGAAAAGAGAAAGGGAAAGTTATACCCAACTGAATGCAAAATTCCAGAGAATAGCAAGGAGAGATAAGAAGGTCTTCTTAAATGAGCAATGCAAAGAAATAGAAGAAAACAGTAGAATGGGAAAGATGAGAATTCTTCAAAAAAAATTAGAGATAGCAAGGAAATGTTTCGTGAAAAATGGGCATGATAAAAGAAAAAAATGGTAGGGACTTAACAGAAGCAGAAGAGATTAAGAAGAGATGCCAAGAATATACAGAAGAATTACATGAGAAAGATCTTAATATCACCAATAACCATGATGGTGTGATTATTGCTCTAAAGCTAGACATCCTGGAGAATTAAGTCAATTGGGCCATAGGAAACATTGCTAACAATAAGGCTAATGGAGGTGATGAAATTCCCTCTGAGCTATATAAAATCTTTTTTTTTTCTTTTTGGTGAGGCAATTGGGGTTAAGTGACTTGCCCAGGGTCACACAACTAGTAAGTGTCAAGTGTCTGAAGCCAGATTTGAACTCAGGTCCTCCTGACTCCAAGACTGGAGCTCTATCCAGTGCACCACCTAGCTGCCCCTGAGCTATATAAAATCTTTAAAAATGATGCTGCACCCAATATGTTAGAAAATTTAGGAAACTCAACAGTGACCACTGGACTGGAAAATATTAGTTTGCGTCCCAATCCCAAAGAAGGGCAACACCAAAGAATGTTGAATTTACTGAACAATAGTGCTCATTTTACACACCAGCAAGGTTATGCTTAAAAATCTGCAAGCCAGGCTTCATCAAGATGTGAGCTGAGAATTACCAGAAGAGCAGCCTGGTTGTTGAAGAGGCAAAGGAACTAGAGACCAAATTGCCAACATTGGCTGGATTATGGAGAAAGCAAGGGAGTTCCAGAAAAATCTGTACTTCTACTTCCTTGACTATATTAAAGTCTTTGACTGTGTGGATCAAAACAAAATATAGCAAGTCCTCAAAAAGATGGGATTACCAGATCATCTTACTTGTCTCCTAAGGAACCTGTATGCAGGTCAAGAAGCAATAGTTATAACTAAACCTGGAGCAACTGATTGGTTTAAGATTGGGAAGGGGGTATGACAAGGCTGTATATTGTTGCTTTATTTATTTAACTTAGATGTTGAATACATCATGGGAAATGCCAAGCCAGAATTAAGGGTTCTGGGGAAAATATCAACAATCTAGGATATACAGATGATATCACTCTGATGGCAGAAAGTGAAGATGAATTAAGAAACCTTTTAATGAAGATGAAAGAGGAGAGTGTAAAAGCTGGCTTGAAGCTTAACATTAAAAAAAAAAAAACTAAGATCATGGCAATTGGTCTCATCACTTCCTGGCAAACAGATGGAGAAGAAATAGAAGCAGTGTTAGATTTCATATTCTTGGGATCAAAGGTCACTGCAGATAGCTACCACAGCCATGAAATTAAAAAAAAAAAACACTTGCTCCTTGGATGGAAAGCTAGGGCAAATCTGGACAGCGTACCAAAAAGCAGAGACATCACCTTGCTGACGAAGTTCCATATAGTCAAAGCATGGTTTTTCAGTAGTAATGTATGGCCATAAGAGGTGGACCATAAGGAAAGCTAAGCACCATAGAATCGACATTTTTGAATTATGGTGCTAGAAAAGAATTTTGAGAGTCCCTTGGACAGCAAGGAGATCAGATCAGTCAATACTCAAAGGAATTACTGGAAGGTCAAATACTGAAGCTAAAACTTAAAAACTTTGGCCACATAAAGAGAAGATGGGACTCACTGGAAAAGACCTTGATGTTTGAAAAGATTGAAGGCAAAAAAGGAAAAGGAGATAGTAGAGTATGAGAAGGATAGATAGTGTCATGGAAGCAATGAAGCTGAGCTAGAAAGACTTTGGCAGATGGTAGAGGATAGAAGGGCCTGGTGTGGCAATGGTCCGTGGGGTCATGAAGTGTCTGACATGACTTAACAACTGGACAACAAATCTAAGAAGATGGGTTGTATCCCACCCTCCTCATAGTAGCCAGTCCTGCTCCAACACAGCTTCACCTTCTTACCCATTACCATCCCACACTCCCCAATCCTTTTACTTCCACTATGCTCCTAATCACCTAGGTTAGCTCCTCAGTCTCCATCACATTCAATCTATTGCAAAACCTTGCTGATTCTATGCCACTCCTCTCATAGCCATCCTTTTTTTTTTGTTCCTGTCATGTAGCAACCACTCTTGTTTAGGCCCTCATCATCTTTCCTTGAAGTATTATTATAATCCCCTAATGTTCTCACTTCTTTCAAATCTTTCCCCAATCCAATCCATCCTCCACACAGCTGCCAAATTAATAGTCCTTAGGCACAGGTCTGATCATGTCATTGACCTAATCAATAATCTCTAGTAGCTCCCTACTAACTCTAATTTAAACAATTATTTCATCTTTAGCTCATCCTTTTAAAAAGTTTTTTTGTGTAACTTTTATAATCAACGTAATTGTATTGTAGTATCTATATTTAATTTATATACATATATGTATGTTATATATAGGGTATATTCTCAAATATTTTTTTGCTAATGGGAGTATGTGATCAAAATAGTTTGGAGACCACTAATTTAGAGTACCAGAAATTAACTTGATGTTTATAGATTATCTAAAATCTGTCTAAAATCTTTTCCTCCCTTTTCCCTTCCATCTCTGCCATGATCACTACAGACAGTCACATAGGATTGAGGTTTTGTCTTTTCTTTTTTTTTTTTTCCTGTTCTGCCATGACTACCACCTGTAGTGATTGAATATCCAGCTTTCTGATGATAAGCCCTTCCTTTCTTAGCTAGGCTTACTCTCAGATAGCAGACATGATTTGTTCCTATTCCTGTGCTCTGGGCCTTTGAATACATAGTCAAATGTGCTATGTAAGTTTAGCTTTCATAATAAAAATGTTTTATGCAATGATTCAAATCACCTAAAATTATTTTAAATGTATTTCTATGATTTTTTTTCATTTTTAAAGTCTTTTCTCATCAAATGAGAGACCTAAGTAACCATTTCAAAATTATTTTTCTACTTTGAAGAAAATTACATTTTAGCAACTAAGGGAATTATATAAGGAGGAGAAAGGCTAGCCATTTGTGATCATCTGAATTACCTTTACTTAGGTCTCTCTGGTCCATGAAATCCCACTTCTACTTGTGAACAGCTGAGACCAAAGCAACAACAGAGCTCTGGTCCCCATTCCAAACTGCCAGACCCTTGATGGAATTAATGGAAGTCATAGAGATACCATAAGTAGGGACATCCTTTAGGAGAGGGTGAGAAGTGAAGAAATTCTTACACAATCCTGTTGTTGCTTGAGTAGAGCTCTTGAAATGTCTCTACTTAGGGAGTAGCATAAGTACAAAGTTAGGATACCCATAGTTCCTTCTGGACCAGTAACTGCATTCTGGAGAGTATAACTGCCCACTCATATAAAAACAGTTTTCTTCTATTAAGCCCTGTCTTCAGCTAAATGAATAAAAGGACTAAGGTAGAAAAAAACTGCTCTTCACTGTTCTTCCATTTCCTTTTTAGTAAATAAGAACTGAATGGAATGAAGTTAGGGAAAAAAGATGTCACTTTCTCCTATTATTTCTTTTGTTTAGGAGGTAGGTGGCTAAAGGGAAGAGGTCAGGATATGATGCTGCCCACAACAGTAAATTTAGAGATGGTGGGTGGGAGAGAGAGAGAGGCTCAGAAAGTATTCTAGGAGATCTATGGATTAACTCCTTCACTGTTCCATGTGATTGAGAATGAGGAAGATGGGGGGAAGGAAATGTAGGGAAAGACTAAATACTTCAAAATAGTATGGGGGAAAGCAAGCAAAAATGAGGGAATTTTGAACTAACATTTATATCTTATAAACTTTTCCAAAATTTACCGTATAGACTGAATGGTTTAGATACGCAATTTAGATATTACAATGAGTAGTTCTGTCAGGAATCAATCAGATGGTAACTTTCTAACATTAAAAATTTTATTATTGATCCCATAACTTCCTTACTAGGATTTGCTACCTATAAAGATGCTGCCCACAAAGAGCTTGTAATTTACATGGCATTGAATACTTTTGGCATGCTTTCATAGCCATGAACTGCCTTAATTCTCAAAAAAAAACTTATGAAGTCTGCAATGTTATTCCTGTTTTTCAGATGAAGGTGAAACACAGAGTGGTTTAAGTGACTTTCCCAAGATCCTATAGTGAGCGTTAAAAATCTGGACTAGCAACTGTTAACTTCAAAACAGTGCTTTTCTTAGACTGGAACACTGCCTTCCGCATAGGAAACCCGCATGGTGATTACTGTTCAGCTTCCCTTTAAAGAGCAGAGGATGTGGGGCTGCTAGGTGGCACAGTGGATAAAGCTCCAGCCTTGGAGTCAGGAGGATCTGAGTTCAAATACGGCCTCAGACACTTGACACACTTACTAGCTGTGTGATCCTGGGCAAGTCACTTAACCCCAACTGCCTCACCCAAAAGAGGATTCCTGTTTTTGGTGAGCTCTGGCTTGTTGTGTCTCCATCCTTTGCGTTGCTAACAGTATAGAAAGTTTACAGAATATGTTGAAATATGTATGAAAGCAAACAGTGATGGACCCAGAAAAATGGAAAGACTAACAAGGAGGAAGAATAAGAGGAGAAAACTCTAAAACTGATGGTAACATTTGAAAGGGAGAAGAAGAAAGATGTGTGAAATAAAAGCAAAGAAGACTGAAGATAAAATATGAATTCTCCAACAGTCTTATTTATGTCCATGTTAGGTGAGGAAAATAAAGCAACTCTTCTTGAACTTGGAGCTGTGGAACCTTTAACTAAATTGCTTACACATGAAGACAAAATTGTGAGAAGAAATGCCACCATGGTATTTGGAATTCTAGCTTCTAATAGTAAGGATCTGTTTTTCAACTATGTTAAATCATATGTAATGCATTCTCATTTTATTTTTATTTTGAAAGAACCTCCTTCAAAAAGTCTTTTAAAGCTTAAATCATCACTATATACACATAACATGAGCGATAGCGATAGGATGATGTCTCCTGGTACTGGGGTGAGGAGGAGGAGAAACATAATTTCTAATTTCCTGAATTGAAGGAAAATCACAATCTTGAATTATGCTGCTTTGTAAGCTCTTTGCCTCTATTGCACTTCTTTCCCCTTGAGGGCTGTTGACCCATAGGGGGAAAATAACCCACAAACCAAGGGCCAAATAAATGACATCAATATTTTTAGTTTGTTTTTCCTTTTTTATAGTGATTTATCGATGCATGTATTATAGGATAGGGATAGGGGCTAGAACTGTGGTTGGTTTCCCTAGCAGAGCAAACTCTCTCTACCAATTGTAGGTCAGTCCCTCCTCTGCAACTTAACAAGCTTGGTGGGTTGCCTCAAACATTGAGAGGCTTAAGTGATTTGACCAGGGTCACATAGACAGTGTCAGTGGTAGGCCTTGCACCCAAGTCTTCCTGGCTTTGAGGCTGGATTTCTGCCTATTGTACTCTATGCGGTCATACTTTCAAAAAGTTCAATGTGTGTACATCCCAATTCCAAAACAAAAAATTTAGAGGGTGATTATTAACATGATTGAGCAGCTAGGTAGTGCCATAGTGCTTATAGTACTGGGCCTGGAGTCAGAAAAACCTTTTCCTGAGTTCAAATGTGGCCTCAGACATTTACTAGCTGTGGTGACCTGGGCAAGTTACTCTAACCCTGTTTGTCTCAGTTTCCAAATCTGTAAAATGACCTGGAGAAGGAAATGGCAAACCACTCTAGTATCTTTGCCAAGAAAATCCCAAATGGGGTCATAAAGAGTCAGATGTGACTGAAATGACTGAGCAACAAATATTAACATGATCAAAGGATGCAGCATAGCATTCCTTTATATAGTAAACTCTTTAAGCATATTAAATTGGATTTACACACAACTTTTGAAGGAAACATATGTTGACTTTAGAGAATGATCTAATCAGAGTGGAAGACCCAGAGCATACATTTCCCAATGACCTGTTCCCTGCTTCCAGAGTGAAAGGATTTGTGTAAATGGTTAAGGATTCCAACAGATGGTCTTGTATTACCACAGACTGATAATTCCTTCTCTGTGGTTGGTAAAATTACAACCTGTATTAGTGGTTATCTCCCTCTAAAAATGGGTGATCTCTAAAACCCCCTTATCACTTACAGACATGAGACTTCCTTGGTAAATTGTCATATAAATAGCATTATCAATAATACCCCTTCCAAGTTGACTCCAGGAAGGTCTGCTGTCAAGGAGGCTTGAGATTCCTTTCCAACCAGGGATTTCCTAGTCTTCCGGTAAAGTCCAGTCCCCGTGTGCTAATGGTCATTGTCCCTTCTGTCATGGTTCTGGCCGTTTCAAGGAGCCGCTGTCTTTGAGCGTTGTTCAAGGATGGCTTGAGGCATCTATGTGCAGAGGATGATGCTTTTTTGTCCATTACTCATTAGTTTCCCACAGAGCAGAAATTAATCCCCTCTTAAACCCTAAAATTACATCAGTGTACATATTTAAACAACTTGTAACTGGGAAACCAATCATCAGTGCCAATCACGCGCTACATTTTGGTGTCTGACTGCATTTAACATAAAAATCATGCTCCGGTACTTTATGGGACTTCCCCTTCCCATTCATTCTTCACCCAGAAATCCAAGCTAAGTATTGTTGTTGTTCAGTAGTGTCCCACTCTTTGTAACCCTTTTTTTGGGGTGATTCTTGGCAAAGTTACTTGGCATTTCCTTCTCTAGATCATTTTACAGATGAGGAAACTGAGGAAAACAGGATTAAGTGACTTGCCCAGGGTCACACAGCTACTAAGTGTCTGAGGTAGGATTTGAACTCAGGTCTTCCTGACTCCAGGCCCTGCACTTTATCCGCTGCCTCTCCTAGCTGCCCAAGTTAAGTATATATCTCTACAAAAGCCCTATCTTAAATTTTCTTCTACAGTTTCACTGCGCCATCTCAGAAGATCAGCTTGACTTTCAGCTCAGGCATTATCTTATCCTTGGGCCAACCCTCACATACCACAGGGAGCCATCTTCGGTGCTTCCTGCTTCATAGCTTCCTTTTCCTTTCATATTTACTATTCTATATTACCCATCACTAGCAGAAGTATAGCCAATGATCCTCTCCTTGAGGCATATTTTTCTCAAAATGATATTTAACTAATCCCCTTATGGATTTAAAAATAAATGCCTTTTTTTAAACAGAAGCTAAAGCAAAGCGCCTCTGAATATTAATATTGTTTCCTCTCTAACATTTGCAAATGTTCAATTTGTGGCTTTCCTCTTCTTCTTTTTAATCTTTACTAAGCAAAGTACGTGGTATTCCCCTTTTCCCATATCATGGTCTTACCCAGGTTTAGGATGTACATGATGCTAAAGAATAAGTTAGGCAGGGAATAAAACTTAATACTTTCTCACTCAATTTATTTTTATGTAAAATGTTTTAAGTTAAAATGTTAGTAAGCCTATGTCATGGAAAATTTACAAGTATTTTCTAATTTTGTAATTATATTTGTTTCTGTATTAAATAAAAACTGTAGAATTTCCATTATGTTGCATAAAGCTTGGCATCCTGCTTCACTATTTTATTTCTCTTTAATAACAAAACATGAATGATTTTCATTTTCTCTTTGCAGACAATGTTAAAAAGTTGTTAAGGGAATTAGATATCCTGAGTTCAGTCATTGCTCAGCTGGCACCAGAAGGTAACTCTGTTTGGTATTTATAAAAAGTGAAACCGTTGCCACCCAGTGGGAAAAACAATTTATGAAAAATTGATAATAAAAACCTCAAATCAAAGTTCAGTTTTACACTTAAATAAAGGGGAGAGGGGGCTCTACTAGGCACTTAGATCTATTTTTTTAAACTTTCGACTTAACGTTTAGAGGACAAATGGCAAGTCCATCAGTAACTGACATGAGTGGAGGGGAATTTGTTTTTCCTGCTGTTAAAAAACAAAAGAAACCATGAAAGCACTTGTTCTGTATTGTTTCAGTAGCGTAAAGGCGTGATCTAAGCAATGTGTTGTCCATAAACTTCAGATTTGTGGTTGTTTGCCTTTTCAACTGTCTTTAGTAGTTGAACAAACGAACACATATCATAATTTCATGATTTGTTCTTGATATACAGAAGAAGTCATAATCCATGAATTTGCCAGCCTTTGCCTCGCAAATATGTCTGTGGAATATACCAGTAAAGTGCAAATATTTGAGTATGGCGGGATGGAACCACTCATCAGACTACTTGGAAGCCCAGATCCTGACGTTAAGAAGAACTCTATTGAATGTATTTACAACCTGGTACAGGTAATGTGCTTCTCAAATGTATTTTAATAATAAAGAAGCTAATTATAAGAATTTATAAAGAGAAATTTAAAATGATCCATCTTAGGATAGTATTCATTATCTATCATTTATCAAGGCAGATTAACAGACTTTATTTCAGAGAGTTCTTTGTTTCCATGCTTCGTTAAGTCATTATACTTCCAGTCTAGATTTATTTTTAAAATATGCTTAGATTTTAAAGAATAGTAGTGTAAATTAAGGTATTTGCTTTGGTAACATTTTATCTCTTCTGTTTGTTGGTTGGTTTTTTAGGCAGTTGGGGTTAAGTGACTTGCCCAGGGTCACACAGCTAGTAAGTGTCAAGTGTTTGGTCTGAGGCTGGATTTGAACTCAGGTCCTCCTGACTTCAGGGCTGCTATATCCACTGCGCCACCTAGCTGCCCCTACTTTATCTCTTCTGGATCTAGAAGTCTAGAGCTCTATAAAATGAGGAAAGTCCTTTCAGGTTTACAATTCTGTGCTTCTACAACTAACTGATTAGGGTATGCGTGCTGAACAAGTAGATAAATGGCCAATAATACACAGACCTGAATATCATAGATTGAGCATGACCAGGACCTTGCTCATTGCATGAGGTATTTAATCAAGATTTCCACAGACAGGAACATACTTGTGGACTGAGCACATTGAATGTGAATTCTGCTCATAGTGCCAAGATGAAGCATTCCATATTTTTTTTTCACTTGGTGATCTCATTAACTCCCATGGTTTCAATATCATCTCTGTGCAGATGATTCTCAGATCTATTTGCCCCATCCCAATATGCTCATCTCCAACTGCCTACCTGGATGTCTTGTAGACATCTTAAACTCAACATGTCCAAAACTTTAACCCTATTGCTGTTGAGGGATTGCAACCTAGGTGTCATCCTGGACTCCTCACTCTCCCTTAGCCCTCCTATCCAAAGGGTTGTCAAGTGCTGGTGATTTTGCCTTTGAAACATTTCCCTAGAACACTGCCTTTGCTCTTCTGACACTGTCACCCCTGATGCGGGCCCTCATCACCTCATTCCTTGGCTGTTGTGATAGCTTTGCTGGTTGGTCTCCCTGCCTCACGGCTTTGCCCACTCCTATCTGTCCTCTATTCTACCCAGCTGTCAAACTGATCTTCCTGAAATGAAGATCTGGCCATATCATACCTTACCCTCATTCAATGAACTCCAGTGACTTCTTCTCACTTCTGAGAGCAAATATGAAATTCTTCGACTTTTCAAGCCCTTCATAACCTAGCCCCAGGAGTGAGTGTACTAGAAAATGTTATCCATGCATCCATGTATCCATGACACGCTTTTAAGTTTAATCTTTATTATTAACATTTTCTCTACCCACTTTCTTAAGTCTAGACAATCAACAAAATAATAAATCAAGCCCCGATTTGTAGCATTTGCTAATTTCTGAGATATAAATGTTTACACTGAAAATTTAACAATTGGCTCCAGGCCCCCTCTGCCTGGCCCCTTCCTGTTTTTCCAGTCTTCTTACACTGTCCCCTCTCCTTCCACACAGTCTTCTACACTGGCCTCCTTCCTATTCTCACATGACCCTCTGTCTCTGGACTCCATGCATTTTTAAAGGCACTCTTCCACGCCTGGAATGTTTTCCCTCCTCTTCTCTACCACCTGGCTTCCCCGACTTTCTTCAAGTCTTAGCTAAAGTCCCACCTTCAGCAAGAAACCTCCCCAATCCTCCTTCATCTTAGAACCTTCCCTCTGAAACTACTGCTGATTTATCCAGGTGTATGGTTGTGTGCATATTGTCTCCCCATTATACAAGTTCCTTGAGAGCAGGGACTAGGTTTTTTGTTTCCTTGTTGTTTTCTGCCTTTCTTTGTATCCTCAGTGCTTGGAACAATGGCTGGCACATCATAGGCACTTGAAAACGCTAGTTGAGTGACTGCTTATGTACTTTAAATCTGTAATAGAGACACAACACTGCTCCAAGGATGAAGCCTGATGACCCTCTAGATGGCCTGGCTGGCTTGCTGTCTCTTTGAGAACAGATCCTTGTCCTTTTGTCCCTTGCATGGCTAACTTCTTGGCCTCATCCTTTCTCTGGACATCTCTCTGGGAAGGTTCCTATGAAGGCTCATGCATGTGCAGTCACATACATCCTAAAACATCTCCATATAAACCTTATCAGTCTCCGTACTCAGTCCATACGTTTGTGACCTTTCCATTTTCTTCTTCACTGCCACCTCCTTTCCTTCCATCCCTTTCCCACCCTTCGTTCTGTACTCTGTTTCTACTTGCCTTTGGGATTTTTTCCCCTGTCTCCCTTTCCACTTCTCTTTCCTTTTGCCTCTTTTTTAGTACCTTTTATTATTATCTTTTTGAACCATTTTCCCTGAGACCCTTTCTGACCCAATTGCTTCACTATTCTTGGTTTCTCAAGCACATGGTGCCCTTTCCTTCAAGCCTCCTTACTGGCTCAGACTCTAGCTGCAGCCCTTCTATCTATGTCCTTTGCAAAGCCCTGTGCTGCAGATTACTCTCTTCTCTTCCCTCCCTCCTGCTCTCCAAAGCTCTGAGCCGCTAAGCACAGTTCAGTTGACTATTGCCCTCACTATTGCCTTTTCTCTTCCATAAATGTTGACTTGTTAAGCCCATCAAACCACTACTTGGCTAAATTTAAGGTGGTATCTCACAGAAACTTTTGTGGAAAGGCTCTTTCTTTAAGTCACACTATTCAGGATGGACCCAGTAGAAGAGAGCAGATTTTGTAGCCTCTGAGTGCCCAGACAGGGCAAATCCCCTTACTCCCAAACTCCCTCTCCCTTCCCTTCTGAAGCTGGTCCTTCTCCTCCTCCTTTCATCAACTTCTTGTCTGAAACTTAAGGCCTAGGTTACTTTGTCAGAGTTCCATTCTTCCATGAAAGGGAAAGGCCACCCAAGACAAGAGTGACTCAGGGCTTTAGTGTTCTGCCTATATTGGCTTTTATTATCTGGAAACTAGAATATTTGTTTGCCAGCCATGCATTCTTAGAACACCTTGGTACTCCTTGCTGGAGTACAGGAAGACCTGGTCTGCCTGGGTGAAGTATTCAGAGGCACCTGAGAACAATGACCCACCCTGCCAAGTCCTCTACCTGTTTTCCTCCAGAAATGGTTGGTTTGACCATATAAAAGTAATATTAATTAGTAATTTAAATGGATTTCTTACCATTTGTGCTTAACCACTATGCAACATTGTAATGATCATGGATATGATGAAAGATATCAAACTGACTGCTATAAAATTTAAGTATAACACCAAACTATGTTTAATCTTCGTATTTGTTGCTAGTACAGCATGTTCATGCATTCGTAACTTATTCTCTGTACCTCTGTGATATAGTTCTGTGGAACATTGCTTCTTGGACCCTTGTTGATCTAAAGATCAGTCTTGGGTTTGTGGCCTTTACACCAGTCCCAGAAGCTGGAGTTACGCCCCTCCCAATGTCCTTGGTTTGCCTTTTGACCAGTATGGAATGATTTAATCCAATCACCTGATTTAAAATAAACTTCTATGCTATAGCATTGATGGGATGAAGGAGAGAGTTATCTTAGGAAAAGAGAGAGTACTCCATATTTTAACTGGCTCCAGATGGAAGCCTAAGAAAAAGAGATGGACGTTTAGTGGGAACAAGAAAGCAAAGGCATGAGAGGAGGAGAAGAGTGACTAATGCCCGAAGCTGGAAAAAAAAAACTTAAAACTTAAAAAAACCTTTTTATCTCCTTTTATCATCTTAAAAATGTTATCATGCTTCATATTCTCTTCCCCAGCAAATTTAGTTGGACAGCTCTCTATCATACAACTAGCAATTCTGACAATTTGGGCAGGGGCCACAAAATTTGCCCCTAGGACAAGCAGCACAGAAAGGTCCCTCAAACCAACACTTTAGACAAATTCAGTTAAAGGAGCAAGGCAGGGGGAGAGAAATAATGGTTACAAGTTAATGATGTCTAGTAGAGGAAAGAGACACTGGGATACCATCTTGTATTGGGTATGAAGACAGAGACCTTGAGGGATTCCTCCCACCCCCCATATACACACACATCCTCTCACGGATGGAAACCTTAGGACAGCTTAAGGCTGCTTGAAGCTCACCTGTGGTGTGCTTTTAGGATGGGGGAAAAAAGTGGGCCATCTCATACCTTCCTATTTTAAGTAATTGTTCCTGCTAACTGGGTGCTAATTTTGGATTTTCCTACCTCATTAAGGAGTATAAGTGCTGACAGTACCCTCTAAATTTTGATGTCCTGGGACGAAACCCTAATCACCTTGCCCTAGTTAAGGCTTTGCTACCATGTGACTTCTCCCAAAGTCTTTTTCTTCCTTCCCTGGCAGAAACTCCCAGGAAATATCCCTTTCCCAATTCCTGTCTAGTGACTACCAAGATTACATAATTTCTAGGAGACCCAGACACTCCCCAAAGAACTTTTCCCTATTCAGAGTCCCCAAAGAGCCTAGTCACACCATGTTTACCAGCTACTATCTTTACCTATCGATGATAAAATAAATTATTTTCATAACTGACATTGCTGAAAATTAGTTTAATTGATAGCAGAAATCCGACAATATCTATATATCTTTAAGAAGCTTTTTAGCTTCAATAGTGAATCAAATAATGAATATGAGCAAGGTGAAGAACACTTACCTTTAATAGAGAAATTCTTGGTGTACCCAAAAGTAGCTCTATATTTAACTATAAAAATTTCTCCTTACCCTCATACTATACCTAATAAATGTTTGTGGAATTCATTTGAATGCATAGATAATATATTTATATGGACCCTCATGGAAAAGTATATGCGTTGGTGGTGGAGCTGATCAGACGGTCTCCCCCATTAACTATTTGGTAGGGGGAAGAAATCATCCCTAGGTTTAGAAGGTAAAACTTCTAAGATTCTGAAGTGGATGAATGCCCTCTTTAAAACCTGGTAGTTCCCTAGAACTAATAGAGGCCCTTCCTACCTCATCCTGTCCCCCATCTGTATCCAAAGCAATCAATCATTCTTGGGATAGAATTTATAAAAAATGTATCGATTATAAAGAGTCTGTCATAATATACATCCCACATATCAGTGTTAGAGTTCTGACCTACTCTACTGAGCACGCAGATGGGCAAGTCAATAAAAACAGGTGACATTTATGTGATACTTTTAGGTTTATAAAATGTTTTCCTAACAACAGCCCTTAGTGCAAATAATATTACTCCCATTTTACAGATAAGGAAATGGAGGCACTGAGAAGTCAAATTCTTGCCTATGATTGTGCAGCCAGCAAATATCTGAGGCAGGATCTGATGTCTCCTAATGCCAACATTCTACCTCCTGCCCTCTGTCTCTTCTCAATTAAGAAATCTATTTAATGGGTTGTTAACGCCTGCATATAGGCATTAGGGTAATTTTAGGAATGTATTTGTTTCTCAGCCTCTTCTCAAATGTAACATCAAATCATTTCTTCACTGAGACCAAGAAAATGAAAAAATCTGAAGTCTTTCTGTGTCATTTTGGGTAGTTTATTTAGGCTTTACTTTATTTGTAAAATAAGATATGGCTCTTCCAGCTTGGATATTCCATAACTCCATGACTATGAAAATATAAACTATGAGTCATTTTTAACATTATAAGGGTTCATAATCTATAGAACATGGTTGTCTAATTGAATTACATTTTAAATACCCAGACCAAATTCTACCAAGTGGAGAGGCAACATGTTGCAATGGAAAAAAACAGTAGACTTGGTGTCAAAAGGCCTGGGCCTGTCACTTACTCCCTTCTATGACTTTGGGGAAGTCTCTTAATCTTTTAGAGGCCTCAGTTTCCCCATCTGTAAAATGAGGAGATTGGATTCAATGGCCTCTGAGGTCCCTTTGATGCCTCAATCTATGATCTGTGAATTATAAATATTGATGAATTTTGATTATTTGAATTTATATATAAACTATTTGAATATTGATAAATTTTGCTGAATAAAAAATAGGTGAAAGCAGCCAAGTAGAATCAGAACAGATCCAGTACTGTTTACATCCCTCCTGTTGCCCCCCTCAAATTAAAAGGGGTTGTTCACTAAAAATATACTGCAATTTCACTGAATTTTAAGTGAATGAGTCATTTTTAAGCTAGAGTTTGGAAATCTTTTTTTAAAAAAACAGAGATTATTTTAATTGAATTTGTAATGGAATTTGCTATACTCTAAAGATGATATAAGGAACACAAACGGTCGTGGGATATGTGGTCTCCCCTAGCCCTGATAAGGTATGCAGGTTTTATGAAATTGTTGGTACATATTTAAATTCTAGCTCGTTTTAGAAGGAGAGTTAAAAGCATGAAAATAAATGGTCATTTGTTGCTATGTGTTTAAAAAAAAAAACCTCTTCACTATTGCCTTGTTTTTCTGCATTACTTATGGTGTCACTTATTTATTTTTCATCTATTTTGTATTCCCCGGCAGGACTTTCAGTGTCGTTTGGCAATTCAGCAATTCAATGCAGTCCCTCCTATATTAGATCTCTTGAAGTCTGAATATCCAGTTATTCAACTGCTGGCTCTCAAGACCTTAGGCATCATTACCAATGATAGAGAAAGCAGAGTAATGCTGAGAGACTGTCAAGGACTGGACCAACTTCTTAAAATTCTTGAAACTAAGGTACTAAGTACTTTGGCTCTGGATTTGGGCCAGGTCTTCTTTCATATCTTTTACTAATAATAATATTAACTTAGATTCTTATAGAACTTTTAATGTTGGCAAAGTAATTTAATATATTATCTCATTTTATCTTTTTTTTTTTTTTTGCAATTGGGGTTAAGTGACTTGCCCAGGGTCACACAGCTAGTGAGTGTCAAGTGTTTGGTCTGAGGCCGGATTTAAACTCAGGTGCTCCTGACTTCAGGGCCAGTGTTCTATCCACTGCGCCACCTAGCTGCCCCATATTATCTCATTTTAACCTCAACAACCTTGGGGAGATTGTTGAGTAAGTGCTACAAAGTACTTCAATGGTTCTATGATCCCATCACATTAGGGACTCTTTCTAACTGTGCAGGTCACAATTCAGGTAGTGTTATCCTCATTTGCAGGTCAGGAAACTGAGGCTTGAAGACGTTAAATAATGTCAAAGGCATAATGAAAACTCCTGATTCAAAGCATAGTACTTTTTTCTAATACAACTCACTGCCTTTCTATGTAGTACTTTGGAGTTTATAAAATATCATCATGTGTGTGATTTCATTTGCTATTTATATCAACTCTGTGAAGTAGGTAGAGGGTGGGAGGGACCTAGCACTTATTATATGTTTTACAAATATTTTCAAGCAATTAATAATTTTAGCAAAGTAGCAAGATAGAAAATAAACCCACATAAATCATCAGCATTTCTATATGTCACCAACAAAACCCTGCAAGAAGAGATAGTGAGAGATACCCCATTTAAAATAACCATAGACAACATAAAATACCTGGGAGTATACCTGCCAAGACAAACTAGGAACTGCATGAGCGCAGTTATAAAACACTTTTATACAAATGAAGTCAGACTTAAATAATCAGAGAAACATTAATTGTTCATGGGTGGGTAGAGCCAATATAATAAAAATGACAATTCCTTTTAAACTAATCTACTTATTCAATACCATCCCAATCAAATTATCCAAAAAAAAATTTTATTGAAAAAATAATAAAATTCATTTGGAAGAATAAAAAAATCAAGTCTATCCAAGGAACTAATGAAAAAATGTAATGAAAGGAGGTTTAATGGTACCAGGTCATAAACTGTATTATAAGGCAGTAATTATCAAAACTATCTGATACTGGCTAAGAAATAGAAAGGTGGATCAGTGGAACAGAGTAGATATACAATACACAGTAGCAAATGATTACAGTAATCTTGGATTTGATAAATATAAAGATTTAAGCTTTGGGGATAAGAATTCACTATTTGGTAAAAATTATTGATGAAACTGGAAAGCAATCTGGCAGAAATTAGGTATAGACCAATATCTTGCACCAAGATGAAGTCAAAATGGATATATGATCTAGATATAAAGGGAGATATCATAAGTAAATTAGAAGAACACAGAACATAATACATGTCAGATTTATAGATAGAAGAACTTATGTAAAAGTAAGAGATAGAGAGCTTGGTGAGATGTAAAATGGATAATTTTGATTACACTAAATTAAAAAAGTTTTGTATAAATAAAACTAACATAGCCAAGATTAGAAAGAAGGCAGAAAATTAGGGGGAAATTTTACAGACAGTTTCTTGGATAAAGGTCTCATATCTCAAATATATAGAATGAGTCATTGCCCAGTTGGTAAATGGTCGAAAGATATTAACCAGCAGTTTTTGGAAGAAATGATCAAAGCTATATATAGGCATATGAAAAAATGCTCCAAATCATTATTGAATAGAGAAATGCAAATTAAAACAACTTTGAGATATCATCTCACATCCTATCAGATTGGCTAAAATGGTAGCCAGGGAAAATGACAAATGTTGGAGAGGATGTGGAAAAACTGGGACATTAATATGCTATTGGTGGAACCGTGAACTGATCCAACCATTCTGGAAAACAATCTAGAATTATTCCTAAAGAGTTATAACATTGTGTATACCCTTTGGCCCAACAATACCGCTATTAGGTCTGTTTCCCACAGTGATCAGGGAAAAAGGAAAAGGACCAATAGGTTCTAAAATATTCATAGGTTATGGTGACAAAGGACTGGAAATTGAGGGGATGCCCATCAACTGGGGAATGGCTAAATAAGTTGTGGTATATGAGCGTGACAGTATTGACCGTGCTAGACTTGCATTAAATAATGAAAAGTCAAATAAGCAGAACCAAGAGAACATTGTATACAGTAACAGCTTCTAAGAATAACTATTCTAAGAATAACTGTGAATGATTAAACTATTATGAGTATTACAATATTCAAATCAACTATAAAGGACCTATAAAGGAAGAGGCTATCCACTTCCAGAGAAAGAACTGATAAATAGAAGTATGCGTAATATATACATGCATACACACACACATACATATAGTATATCTGTGTCAAATGGTGACCTTCTCTAGTGTGGGGTGAGGAGGGAGGGAGGGAGAGTTCACAACTTAAAATGTAACAAAAAAATTTTTAAATATTGTCTCACTTGATTTAACAGCCATCCTGTGAGGTAGGTGCTGTTATTATCCTCATATGATCTTGAGGAAACTGAGGCTGACAGAGGGTGAGAAACTTGCCCAGGATTATACATGTATTTAAGTGTCTGAGGATGGATTTGAACTCAGTCTTTCTGACTCCAGGCCCAGCACTCTATCCACTGTCCCCCTAGTTGCCCCCCAGAAGATAGGATAGAGTCTCTTAGAAGTGAAGTGATTTAAGATCACAAACTGTTAAATGGCAGACCCTAGACTTGAAACTAGCTCCCATTATTCCATGCCCAGTACTCGCTGTACTAATACTATCATTGAGAAACGATGGTCCCTAAAGATTTAAATAATGAAAAAGCTCAATGTCAATTCAAGTTATAGAAAATTAGACACATGCCTTTTTTTTTTAAAAAAAGTTTTAATTATGCTTTGGCTTGTGATTTAGAGCAAAATTTTACTCCAAAACATTTGTGAGAGAGGAAAAACCTACAAAAGATATGGATTGTTAATGGGCAAATATATCTGTTTTTATTAAATTAAATTAATATTTAAATACCCCAAGATTATATTTTCATGTTACTTTCAATCAACTTTCAAATAGACTTGAGAGTCAGGTAAGCTTCAGATCAGTTTCCATGCTAAACCAAGTTGACAACTAATAGGAAATGTCTTATATGATCAAAAATTTCACATTGGTATCCAAGTTCTGTCGCAGAATTCCTGTAAGACATAGAATTAGGCATGATAACCATTCTATTAATTTCTTAAGTGGTAGATCAGAGAGAAAAATGCAGTTAATGACAAAAAGATGAGGGAAAATTAGAGCTAATTTTTTTCTTTTTTCTTTCTTTTTTTGTGTGAGGCAATTGGGATTAAAGTGACTTGCCCAGGGTCACACAGCTAGTAAATGTCAAGTCTCTGCTCTGAGACCAGATCTGAACTCAGATCCTCCTGACTCCAGGGCCGGCACTCTATCCACTGTGCCACCTAGCTGCCCCACAGAGCTAAATTTTCTCAATGTTTGCCTTTGGATTGAGTCAGCCAAATATGACCTCCATTTGGCCATCACAGCCCTAACTGAAGTGGTAATGCAAAAGCCCGGAGGTGAGAGATGAGGAACATAGAGAACAGGCCAGTTTGGCTGGATGGTAAGTGTGTAAATGTGAAAGGCGAGCTGGAGGCAGATTATGAATGGCTTTAAAAGCTTTTGCTCTGAGAGGTCTTTAGAGGCTATTGAGTAAGGGTTAATAACACGGTCAGATCTGAATTTTAGAGGATTCACTTTGGTAGTTGTGTGAAGGAGAGATTGGTGAGAGAAGACACGAGCCCAGGAGGCTCTAATGCAATACTAGAGACAAGAGGTGATAAGTGTCTGGAACGCGGGGCTGGCCGCATGAGGAAAGTGGCAGGGATGAGAGTTCTTGCTGGTGATTGTGTAGATGCATGGGGTGAAGGAGACTCAGGACTTGTGGATAAATGTCAAGGCTGCAAGCTTGGGACACTGCAACAATGGTGGTGCCTTTGGTAGCAAAAGTGAAATTGGAAGAGAGGTATAATTGTGGGGAAAGTGAATGGGTTATGGCCGTGTGGAGTTTGAGATGCCTGTGGGAAATCCAGTTTGAAGTATCTAATAAGTAATTAAAGATGTACAAGTGGAGCTCAGATGAGAGACTTTGGCTGGATATACAAATGTGAGAGCCATCTCTATAAAGATGATGATTAAACCAGTGGAAGTTGAGGAGGTGAGAGCACCCAGGATGAAGCCTTAGGATACATCCACAATTACGGAGCATGATGTGAAAGATGAACTGACAAATACAATGGTCAGGCAGGTTAGAGGGGAACCAAGAAAACCATGTTCTGAAAATCCAGGGAGGACGGATTGTCATGAGAAGTGGTAGACCTTTAGAATCAAATGCTGCAGAAAGGATTGAGAAAAGGCCATCAGATCAGCAAACAGGAGCGCACTAGTACCTTTAGAGAGAGGTTTCAGTTGAGTGATGAGGTCAGAAGCCAGAAGGCAAAGAGGAGAGGCAGTGAAGGCAAAGGGCCTAGAAAGCTTTAGAATTCTAAAAGGGAGAAGAGCTTTGGGTGGTTAGCTTGAGTTGATGGCATGGGCTAGTGAGGGATTTTTCCAGGATGATGTGGACTTGAGTGTGTTTGTAGGCAGCAAGGAAAAAGCCAATAGATGGGGAGACATGTCAGATTGGAGAGAGGGGGGGTTATCATGGGGACAATCTGCTAGACAAGATGGGAGGAGTTGGGATCAAGGGTATATTGAGGGGTTGGCCTTGGTGCGAAGGAGTCACCTTTTCTTTAAATGCAGAGAGAATAACAAATCATGTCAAGGGATTTTGAGTAGAGAAGGAAAGAAGCAGGACCTGTTTCATTATAGTGATTGGCATGTGTTTTCTCAGCCCATTATAAGGCAAGGCCCTCAGCTGAGAGCCAAGGTGGAGGAGAAGGTGTGGGAAGTTTGAGAAAAGAGAAGGAGGCTTGGAACAGTCTATGTGGGGAGTGGGAATCCACCAGGGCAAGAAAAAAAGGAAGGATATTTGAAAGAATTAATGCAGCTTCTGAATTCAATTCAATGCTTTCTAAGGAGAAAGTTAGAACAAATACAGGAGCTATTGAAAATGTACAATTTTGCATTTGAGATTTACTAAGCAATTTAAACAAGTTTGGTGAATTAAACATCAATCTAGTATCAGAAATTGTCTTATTTAAGGTCAGGAGGAAAGAGTGTATTTTAGAAGGGGGTTCTCCTTTCAGAAAAGAGTCACCATTGATTGTAATGTTTGTCTTTGGGCTAATCATTTATAATAGCTAACTAATGCCTTATTTATCTTCATTTTATGTTTGATAATGTTATTTTATACTTGTGATAAAGTGTAGTATACATTTATAAGACTGATATTGTCATTTTGCTGTTGTCGGTTTTAAGCATAATTTGGAAAGTTGTTTTTTTAATTTAACCTTAAATTCTAAATGGAGAAGCAGCATGACCTAGTGGTTGGAAGACAACACAGAGAATCAGTAATTATAATTCTGCCTATGCAGTTCACATATCACATAATACCAGTTAAATCACCTTACTCTATCATTTGTCTGAGGCTGTGAATATGTTATGCTGACCAAATAAGTGGAGGCATAAAAAAATCATTTTTCTATGTCATGTCTTAAATACCAAACATTGATTTTTCTATATTCAGGTAGCGCTTTCATTGCTCAGTTTTGTACCATTCCAAGTCTGCTCTTACTGCAACTTCTAAGCTCCAGAAAGGCACCCAATATAAATATACATTTCTTTTCAGAAATTATAATTATTGTTGTTTGGTCTCGACTTGCTTTTTCACAGCTGTAGGCAATTCAGAGTGAGGAAATCCTTCCTACTGGTAGACGGATAACAATTTTACAACTTGTAGTCCTCAAATGTTGCGCTGGGCGCTGAGAAATCAAATGATGTGCTCAGGGTCACAGAGCCAGCGTGTGTCAGGCACATGACTGAAAACTGGTTCTTCTTAACTCTGAGGTTGGCTTTCTGCCCACTATGCCAGGCTACCTTGTCTGACAGGCTTTACAGATATTTCTCTAGCAATAAGAATTTTTTTTAAAAAACCTTAAGATTATTTACAGATTCTATGTCAACAGATTCTACGTCAATTAATACAAATTTCAGAGAGGCTGGCTTTGCAGTCAAGCCTTGCCTCTGACATCTACTGGCCCTATCACCCAGGATGAGTCATCTCATTTCCACATGCTCCAGGCAATGTTCTAAAACCACAAATTTTAAAAGAGGAACTCATCCGCCCCTGTAAATGGGGCCAAATAATGCCTTACAGCCAATTCGTAATTTCTGGGAAGCTTACAAGAGATTTTATTTTAGTCATTACTTAGATGAAGTTGTAGAGACCTAGCATCCCATCGAACCCGCTGGATCCTGGCTAGATCTCGAACGCTGCCATTACGATTGTGGTAGGTGGGCAGAAGGCAAGGAGCAAATGGAAAGAGAAAGAAGTTAAGCTTGACAATACATGGACCTCCACACTCTCCTCCCGCCTCTGCCACTGCAAATGTATATGATGATTTTAGTCGCGCTTTACGTGAAAGATTGGACAAAATAAGATAAACACGCTAAAATCTTGTTTGTCTTTCTTGTTAGGAATTTAATGACCTCCACATAGAAGCTCTTGCTGTGTTAGCCAATTGTCTTGAGGATGTGGATACCATGCAACTGATTCAGCAGGCAGGAGGTCTTAAGAAACTCCTGGCATTTGCAGAAAACACCACATTTCCTGATATTCAGAAGAATGCAACTAAAGCAATCGCTAGAGCAGCTTATGATCGTATGTATAATTTTAAAGGCAAAATCTACATATTTCCTTCGACATTTTAATTTTGCTCAGTGGGCTCCGTATTACAATCTCTGTCTGCTTTCAGATACTAACCAGCCGACTGTCCAAGCAGCTAATCCTTTCACTTAAGGCAGCACAGGGTCTGTCTAGCCAGGTAGCACAGAGATTCCTTTGTCAGTGGCATAAGACAATAGGGTACCCTACAGACTAATAACCCCCAATGTAATTTAGTCATGTTCTTATCTTTTTATAATTACTCATTCTCTACAGGGATTTTTATTTTACTTTCTCTTATTTGCTGTGGATTTCAGGATTATACAGAATATGTACATTATTTGTGATCGTGAAAGCTACTGTTTAAATAAGTCTGTGCTAGGAATGGTATCTATACAGTAATTTTTCAAGTTGTGATCTAAAGTCTAGTAGTGCCATGTAACAGGATATGAAAAATTCTATATTCATAACTATACATAATAAGGTTTTCATTTCAGTGATGAGTTCTGCTAACATAAATCTGCAAAACTGGAGAGGTTTGTTTGTGTCAACAGAACCAAAGATGAAATTGCAATTTTAATTTATATCTATTGGGGAGTATTTTATTTAACACAATATATGATACAAGTTTTTCCCCCTCCTGTATCACTCCTCTTTCCAAGAATGACAGCCTGACTATTTTAGGTGAGTTACATTCTCAACATATATAATAAAGGAATCATTTCCTTCTTAATCCACACTAGAGACCTTCCCTGCCCTAGTTCAACAAGCAGAATTTCACTGACAGTTAGAAATTATACCTGTGGAAAGTATGAAGAATTATGCTGAGAAGTCTACACCCAGAGAAAGAATTTGAAATCAATAATAACAAACAATAAGAACAGCAAATCACTTGCGTGGTGTGTTAAGGTTTTACTTCCAGACAAACCAGCCTTGTCTTTGTCCTCACACTTAGTAGTGCATCTCCTAACAACCTTGTAACGTCGGTAGGGTGTTATCTCCATTTGATAAATCAGACGACTGAGGCATGACGAGGTTAAGTAATTTTGCCCACAAACACCCAAGCAGTAAGAGTCTGAGGTGGGATTAGAATCCATGTCTTTTGCCTTCTCTTCAGTACACCATGCACCATGCTGCTTCTCAAGTTAAGGTTTTCTTTGTATGGTAAAAGTTGGTTTATACTTAGTCTACATAGAGCCTGGTGTAACAGAAAGAACACTGGTCTTAGAGTCAGAAGACCTGTGTTCAAGTAATGACCTTGATACTGGGTGTATGACCCTAGATGGGCCCTAAATCTGAGTCAAAAAGATGACGATATTTACACTCTTTACCTCACAAGATCATTGTGAGGAAAGTAGTTATTAACCTGAAAGTGTTTATGTAATTGTGATGTGGACTCAAATGGATAGGGTAGTAGGGCTGGAATCAGGAAGACCTGAGTTCAAAGTCGGCCTCGGACACTTAGTAGCTGTGTGACCCTGGGCAAGTCATTTAACCTCTGAATCCACTGGAGAAGGAAATGGCAAACCACTCCCGTATCTTTGCTAAGAAAATCCCATGGACGGTATTGGTGCCCACAGGGTCACAAAGAGTTGGATACAACTGAACAGGCAAACAACAACAAATGTGCTATAAGAATTGTTGTACTAGGTCACACATACCCTATGTCACCAGAAATCTGGGCAAGTTCAGCTTTTATAGGCTGCTACAGAAAACCTGTGAGGGGAAGGGCTGACGGCCACGGCTGCTGCCTTCCTACTCCATGGCTCGGTTTCCCAGCCCAGTCTGCCCCTGCAGAAGCCCACGCGTCCTATCCTCCCCCCACAGAAGTGTCATCTCCACTCCATTAGACAAAACAAGTGCCCTCAGCTCATAGTGACCAAGTGCGTTGCTCCCACATGTCACCCACATGCCTACATGCTCACCCTTCAAAGTCAAACAACTTCCATTGTCAGACAAGTCCTGGTTAATGATCATAGCTAACATGTTACACTTATTCGCGGTAGAACCTCACAACTTGTGAGATAACTCTGATGTTACAGTGGAGGAGTCAAAAACCTAGTTAGTGTTTAAGGCAGGAGTGTCTAGCCCTTTGTCCGCCGTACTGCCTCTAACTGGTCTCCTATCCCTTGTCAGGTAATGAGCCTCTGAAGTTATCATCAAAAAAAGTTACATTATTTTATTTTTTCTAAATTATTTTCAATATAGACTAGAGAAGACGTTCCACATAGTGAATAGAGGTAAAAGGCTCTGGATTCAAGTCCTGCCTCTGACACATCTTGGCTATGTGACTCTGGACAAGTCAGTTACTCTTTCTTACTCTAAGCAACTTTCCAAGACTACAGAAAGGGCTGACCTGTTATTAATAGGGGAAGATCCTTCATTGGGAGGGGATGAGGAGGTCCTCTGTGTTATTCAAATCACAGGGACAGTCCCTCTCCCTATAGATTTAGTATTATGTATATCTACCCAGGACAACTTTTTGGCCATAGTTAATGAATACCTATGGGCCCAGAGATATTCATTTTCAACAGAAAATAACCCAGAAAGATCTAGGATCTCTGATGCCCTATCCTATTTTGCAGTGTATTTCTTTTTGCCTTCCATGCTTTTTGGCATAATAAATATGCCCAAGTGGCAAAAACGTATCACTTATCTCCACCATACTATTGCCTTAATGTTTTTGCAAGGAACTTGGAAAAGCTTCATGACATCATCAGTTAATGTCAGCTGTCACCTTCACCTACCCAAATGCCCCCCTCTCTGAGCCCACATTGGGTGTAACCACACACCTCTTCTTCCTTTTGTCCCCAGCACGAAAGGAGGCCTACCACTAAAGGTGTGAAGCAAGACACTCCCAGTAGAACAAGTCAAGCTCTCTTTTTAATGACCACTGTGCCTCATGATCATTGCTTGCCTCCTTTGCTAAGATACAGATTACCTGAACACGACCTTGTTTTGTCCCTTGCCTATGCCCCCATGGGACATGCAAGGCCATATCAGTCAGCTAACAGAAGGGGCATGTAAGAAGAAACTCCACTGGGACCACATACAGTCCAGATGCATGGTGCAGAGGCTGAACAGCAGGTGCAAGTGAAGCTATCTTAGCAATGACTGCCGAAAGCATATGCAGGATGACATCATACTAAGGACTTCTTGCCTATGCTGAAAACACCTGGACCCGGAACACTATGGAACAGTCTGTTCTGTTTAGATCCCTGCTTCCAAGGTCACACAAAAGGAAATATGAGCCAGGTTAATGATGCCAGTTTGACATAATGGATAGAGTGATAGATTTGGAGTTGTGTAGACCTGGGTTCAAATCCTCTGTTCTTCCTTGCTGTATGATCATGGACAAGCCACATAATTTCTCCAATCTATAAGATGGACCAGTAGTACCTCTAAGTTACACATACCTCATCATCCTTTTGTAAAGCCCATAACAAATTTTAAAATGCTACATTAATGCCTATGGTTATTATTATTATTAAAAGCTTGTGGAAGGACCTACAGTGGGGTTCCAGAGACTTCTCTAAATATTCTAGAGTATGTGATGGCTGCCCTTGTGCATACCCAACATTAACCGTAGCACTTGTGGTCATGGTCGCTGAGATGCATTCAGATCTAGGGGAGCTTCAGAACTACCATTTATAGCTCCTATCGTATCTTTGTGTGAACCTCAGACCCACCCTAGTGAGTGTGGAACTGATAATTAAGATGATGCCTGAAACTCTGATAAAAGGAATTTCTTCAGCTGTATAGTGTGTTTAAATATATGCTGCAGGATGATATATTGGACCTCCAGTGGGGTGCCCGTTAGCCGTGAGGATGAGCTACTCCTCAAAGCTATTGACCAGTGTCCATCATAGCACTTGGAAGTCACTAAAGGAATTTCACCAATTATGGAGACCAGACTCGAATCCTTGATCTCCATTTGGATTTTCCCTCTAGGGATCATGACCCAACCATTCCTGCCCATGTCCATATCCTCCCATATGTTCATTGCAGGAGTTCTATTCAATAATGCTGAGAGCCTTCCATTGATTTAGCTGGACATTTTGAGGATATCAGTGGAGCTGATAGACTGTCAGTACGTTGTCCCTTGCTCTTGATGGATGACCAGCCCATTCTTTTTTTCCTGCGTTTCCCCGATGACACCCTTTATTCCATTTCATCAAAATTCCTTATTATGTGGTAAGCCTGCTCCCATTCATTATATACCCCATCCGTTGTCCTCTGTATGATATTCATTTTAAATTCCTCCTCTGCTATAGTGTACCGTGATTTGGAATGCTGGGTAGGATATTAGTATTAACAATATAGGCCCTTGTTTGGGTTCATGAAAGGAGCCTTGGAATTTCCAGCCTGCTCTTCTCCTTCTGATTAATTTTGGGTCTAACTTGCTGTCCATTTTAACTGTCCATCCCAGTTAGATATCCTGATGGATGAGCTCTGAGGGTTAGAAGACCACTTGTCTTCTCTTGGGTAGATGGTCAGACCAAACTCTGAATAATTATGGATCTTTTCTAAGAGTCGCTGCCATGTGTCAAGGCTACCACCACAGCCATCTACAAACAGGAGCATGTGGAGGGCTCAGCATCCATAAGAAATCCCTCTTCAGCTCAAGCTCTGCTCTGTGTAAGCCAGACAACCCTGTCTTGGGCCATTAACTAAAACCTCTGATTATGGACAAAGCATAGAAACTCACAGAAGAGGAAGATACAGGTGGCATGGTATAGGAGAAAGATCATTAGATTTGTAGCAGGATGCCCTCAGTTCAAATCTTACCATTGCTACTGTCATTTGTAGTTATCCATGCCCTGTGTTGTGGGTCAAACACAAGACCCCTCCACTCAACTCCCTCCCCAAAGCACCACAAGAATCATCTTCCCCAAAAAAACCTAGGAATAGTTTAGAAAATTCCCAACAATTCAGTCAGAATGACTCACTATGAAGTCAAATTTGATCAATTCGTCACTGACATTTTTCTGGTGTAA